GCCCAGCCCGCGGCAGCAGCTCTGCCCTGAGAAGGGGGGGTCTTGTCTGAGAGCTTCTGAGAGACACCAAACGACCTCCGACTTCAACATAGCGACTTGTTTGGGATTGTGCTGGGGACCCTCTGTGCAGGGTGCTCACTGTGTCCCTGGGGGGCGCACAGCATGCTGCAGCCCGCTGTGGAGAGCACAGGGGTGGGGAGGAGCTGAGCAGGGCACCCCGGATTTACAGGGAGCAGGGTGCTCACCAGCCGTTGTGCCATGGTGTTCTGTAGCTGCTGCAGCCCGGCCCGCTGCGTTCCCCCTTAGCACAGCGGCTGCACAGGGCTGCCCGTGGTCCCCACGCTTCCCCTCCTCTGCTGTCTCTCCTGCAGGCCTCTGGCTGTACCTGGCGGGGAGCGACCTCCCCTGCCTCACCCTCATTGGCTCTCCGAATTTCGGATATCGATCGGTTCACCGGGACTTGGAAGCTCAGGTTGCGATAGTGACAGAGAACAAAGCTCTGCAGCAGCAGCTCCACCAGGTAAGCGCCCGGGTTGGGGGGTGACGTGGATGTCGAGCCCCCGGGTCACACAGGGAGCGCTGGTGACGCAGTTGCCATAAAAACCTACAGCTGCAATCATTCAAAACCTCCTGGAGCGTAGGAAGTCTCAGGGAGCTGTCAGTTAAGTGACTATTGATGAGATGCCTGCTGCAAGTGCCTGCTTCTGGGAAACAGAGGCAGTAACGGGAAGGAACGTGTGTCCCCGGTGAACTCGGGTACCGGGGGAGCTCGGGCACTGGGCGTGGAGACACAGGGTTCTGGGGGGGCTGCTGTGCCCACCTGCTCCCCGGGCAGGCTGCACCCTCCTGCTCCCTGGGCACACTGCACCCTCCTGCTCCCCGGGCACACTGTGCCTGCTCAGCCTCATCCCCAGCACTCGGGCACGGCCGAGGCCACACTGTGCTCTGGGACAATGAGATCAGGCCTCTTGATTTGCTGACCTTGGGCTTCTGGAGGATTTTGCTTCTCAGGCGTTTGGGAAATCCTTCTCAGGAATACAAACGCCGGTCAGTCAGCTGTTGGGTGGCTGCCTGCAGGCTGCGGCGCTGAGCAGAGGCAGGGATCTGAGCAGAGCTTCTGCAAGGGGAGGATTTCTGGGCTGGTTGGATTGCCCATGGAATTATATGACATAATATAGTCTTAAATAACAATAATGTGACATTATATAATCTCGACACAAACGTTTTGCTGTGGTTCAGTGTTCAGTGTCCCAGTTTATTTTGGTTTTCTTTTTAATCAGGCAGCTTGGGCTGCTCAGCACTTTTGCTATTTCTCTAAATCCCGTCTGGTTCTCAGCTGTCTTGACTCTGAAACTCCTGCTGGAGCTGGTGGTGTCCCAGGTAATCTCTCGGGCAGAGCTCTGACAGGGGGCAGGTTGGGTTGGTGCCTCCGGATGTGACTTGGGGATCTGAAGAATGCGTTCTGCTCCGCCGGGCCCTGGCAGGAGGCAGCAGAGTTGTGCTCAGGATCAATGGGAATTGCCCTGTTGCATCAGGGCTCTTCCCCAGCGTGAGTCACAGCACATCTAATCAAAAAAAATTGTATTACTGGAAGAGTTGCCTGAATTTTTCAATTCATATTTTGCCTCTACTTGTTTCTAATGGAAGGCGGGAATCAATAAAGATACGACAAGGGAATTTTCTCACACGGTGCTGCAGTGATCCCATTTAAAGGGCTTTAAAGCATTCCCGTTTGCTGGAAGCCGATTTTGAGGTTGGCTGTTTGTTTACTGTTCTGTGACCTTTATTTAGAAGACTTAATACATTTCTGGTATGCTGCCACGAAATCACTTTGCCTGGTAGAGTCAGTGCTGTCGTGAAAATGCGTGATGAGGACTGGGAGGAGCTGGGAGTGCTCTGGGCGTCTCTGGGTGCTCCACTGAATGAACTGAATTCAATTCAGATAACTGGTCTTGCTTCCACTGATCTCACTGGGTCAGATGACCACAGTGCTGAATCTTCCTAGCCAGGCTGACTACAGCTCTTAGAACATTTGGGGTTTCTAAAGTTAGGCTGATTTTGGACATAAATGTCTTCTTTCTGCTGTTGGTTTGTCTTTTTGGTGTTACTTTTTAGTGCTTGGTTCCTGCTTCCTGTTCAACCCTGAATTTAAACAGTGTGGAGTATTTTCTGATGTTTATGACAGCTTTAGCTAATGAAAAAGTAGCTGGTCTGCTCCTGGTTTTCTGGCAAATCTGGCAACCTGACTGGCCTTGATAAGGGAACCACTTCTACCTGGGATCAGACAGCTGCTGTGACATGCGATGTGAGCATGTGTCATCGTGGTGCTGGTTCATTTCCTCCTTCAGCAGCAGTGTGTGTGCTGGAGGAGCCTCAGTGTTTCTGGTAATTCAGCTGAAGTCATGCCTGCACATTCACTCGCTCACACTCGGGCTGTGTTTGGAAAGCTGTGTGAGCTGCTCTCTGGAGAGCATGGGGAGATTTCCTTTTCTGGCAGTTACAGGGAGGGATTGAGGATTTCTCTGAAACTGAGGCTTAGCTCTCTTGAGATTGTGGAGCACGAAAAGGCAAAACTTCTACCTTTGTAGGGTTTAAACTGCTAATTCTCAAAGCTTGGTTGCTGAGCACTTGGCTGGTTGCTGAAGGGGGAGTGCTGTGGCCAAAGGACGGATCCTCAGCCAGCTCCTGGCTGCTTCACTTCTCTGGAGTTGTGCTACCTGGAACAAGGCTGTGATGTTCGGGCCTGTGGGAGAAATGGTGCCTCCTTTGGCAGGATCCATGGCCAGTTTTAATCTAAGAATTCACTTTTTTTAAAGGCCATTATGTGATTTAACACTTAGGATTTACTGGGATGATGTTTTTTTCCCGACACAGGAGCAGGAGCAGCTTTACCTCTCCTCAGGTGTGGTCTCACCCTCAACATTTGAGCAGCCAAATCGTTACGTGAAGCTGTGGGTGAAGCTGGTAACACCTCTGATCAAAAATTTCTTTTGAAAGAAGATAAGTTGCTGCTTTGGGTGAGTTTTCTGCCATTCTTATGGGGAATTTATATTACACTGACTGCAGTTAATAATTGCAGTGCTCTCTGTCACATGGAAGAAATGCATAGTGGAAACATAGATGATGTGGGGCAAAACAAAACCTGCTGAGGTACATGCCACTGACTAGAATCATTGCTCAGGGTCTGTATTGGGTTTAATCTACAAGAATTTCTGGAGGGTCAGTGAAGGAGAACCCATACGAGGGTATTTCCTATGCATAGAAATAAAACTTCTATTTCTGAAGTGTCTCTTTGACAGTTTTGTGGAGAGGACTGTGTTAATCTTATCTTTACCAGCTAATAGAAAACGGCTGCAACATTAAAAGCATTTTGTCTGCTCTGATCAGTGCTTTGCTTTAAACTTGCAGATGTCAGTTACCAGGAGCAGTTGTTTTGTCTTTCTGCTTTGTCCAGTGTCCTGGGCTCGCCCACCCCGCAGCTGCAGCCACTCTGAGCTTCCTGGCAGTGCCCAGAGCTGTGCTGTGCATGTGGCCCCTGGGCTTGGCACCAGACGTGTGCCCTTGGTGCTGGGTGTGCACATGGTGTCCATTTTATTCACACAGATATGGCCTCCAGCCCTGGGGGCATGTGTCTGGCTCCCTCATGCTCAGCTGTGGTGCCAGTGTCTCCCAGGAACGGTGGAGAGGCCGTGAGAGGGCTTTGGGTGCTCAGGTGATTTTGGGGATCTGTAACATGTCCTGCAAAGAAGCTGATTGGGAACCAGACAGAGGTGTTTTGAGTGCAGGCTTGGGCTGCCCTGTGAGCATCACTGGTAGTGTGTCCAGCATGTTCTGGCCTTGCACTGCCAGCAGAGGGATTTCTTGCACCTGAAAAGGCTGAACGTAAGTGCACAGCTTAATGGCAACTTATTCTAAATGCTGCTACTTTATAAAGACACAAGCAGCTCTCCTTGCCTCCCCTTGTGGCTTTTCTCACCACTAGCTGGTGAGAAAACACAAGTTTTATGCAACTTTTAGCACTGATTGTTCAGGTATTTCCCAGGGTGGGATTTTGGTGAATTATTTTGTGCTAAAGGGATGGGCACTGGCTTCTGTACAGTGACCAGAGCAGAGCTTACCAGTCTAACAGGTGCTACTGCTGATACAGATCATGTAGTGTGAAAGAAAGGGCATAGAGTAGATTCTATAACCTCAAAATAGAAAGAAACAGGCATCAGAGACTGCTCTGTCTGCAGCTGGGCTTGCTTTGGGTTGTGCAGGCTGATGTGTTAGTGAACTGGGTCAAACCCACACCTTTCTTTTCCTGCCTGGTCTAACCTGGTGCCTGCATCCAGGCAGGAGTGTCATGAACATGGCTGGACAAGCTTCTGCTCACAGGTAGCACTGAGCATCAGCCAAAGCTGTGGAAGAACAGAGCTCTGAGAAGAGCAGGAATCTGGATGGCTGCATGAAATTGTTCCATCTGGCTCTCGGCCAGCACTTTATCAGAAACCCCCAGTTGAAACCAGTGTCCACCATGAGAAGCACCATGTGTTGTAAGAGCAGCCTCCACATGGCAGCAGTTCCAGTGCTGGTTTTATTGGTACCTTGCTAAAATGGTTCTGGTACAATCAAACTTAACCCAACTTTGTTGTTTTGCAAGCAAAAGCATTTGCTGCTTTCCATAGTCCCTGGAGTTCAGACCTGGAAGAGCAGAGCAACGCCAGCAAGGACCCACTTAGCAGCTTCTGCTTTTGTCTTTAGGTTGAAGGTCCAGACCTAGGTGGGACCTCTCACCCGTGTCTCGGAGAGAGCACATTCAAAGACGTTCTTGGTGTCCAGGCGGTCCATGGGAACGGCTCTGATGGCAAGGACTGGCATCGTGGGCAAGGACTGGCATCGTGGGCAAGGACTGGCATTGTGGGCATCATGGGCATTGTGGGCATTGTGGGCATCGTGGGCATCGTGGGCATCGTGGGCATCAATCAGCTCCTTCAGCCGGGCACCGGCGATCGCTCCGGGGATGTCCCCTCGAGCGCCTGCAACGTGGGACACTGTCAGGGCACCAGCTCCCCGCTGCCTTCTCCCTTGGAGGGGGCTGGTTTCTGTTTTCTGGTGGGTGGGAAGGAGCTGCTGCAGCAGCGTGGGCAGGGATGGAGTGGGGGGATCAGGTGGCCGTGGCTCAGGGGTCATCAGGGCTGACACGTTCTCGCCTCGCTGTGACCGACGGATGCGTTCGCCTTACTGGGTGTGGGGTGTCTCAGTGAACTGTGTCCCCACCTGTCCCTTCAGCACAGGTCTGCATGGAAGCTGCAGGGCTGAAGGTAGAGCCTGGCCGTGGTGGGACTGCAGTAAGCTGTCCCGTGTGCTCCATGCTCCTGTTTACATGGACCCTGCAGTGCTGTGCTGATGCTGCCACCCCATTCCCCCTCACTGGTTAGCAGGAAGGAGTTTAGGTTCTCAGTTTCCCCATTTGTCTTCTTTGCACATCAGGTAAGGGTGTAATGCATTTATTCACTACACCCACATAGCCTCAGGCGGCTCGGGCACGGGGTTTGCAGCCTGAGTCTCTGAAGCTTGGGCTCTGGTTTGTGAGTGGGTGGGTGCTGCCCTCGGCTGGTGTGTCCCTGACACTGGTGTGGAACCACAGCCCTGCTGCTGGGAGCTGCTGGGAGCTGCTGGGAGCTGCACAAAGCCATGTGAGCCAGCGAGTACCAATGCCTGCCCTGTCTGCAAGGGTTTGTAAGGCTGAACTGGGCCTTCCCCATGTCTGAAACATCTCCTAGAAGATGCACTCTTACCTTCCATGAATAATCCATGCACACAGGAGCCTTCTCTGGGTGGAGCTCTTATTTCCTCACGGTATTTCTTGGTCACATCCACTGAGAGGCACATCTTGTGCAGTGGCCACTCGTTTTTCCTGGCCATGGACTGCATGCTGGTGGTGAGGGAGGACTGGGGATTGAAGAACCCCACCAGCCACACGGTTGCAGGCAGCACAAAGTCCATTGACCAGACTTCCAGTTCCTGGAGAACAAAACCAGCAAAGTACTTCAGAGTGAGCGGCAGAGTCCTGCTGTGAGGTGTGGTGTGACAAAGAGCTGACGTGTCCCGGTGCCTAACACAAGCATTGGGTCATCCTCAGGTGGGGAGACCGGGTTGGAGGTGGTCTGTGAGGAGAGAACAGCAGATTCCACTGCAGCAATGAAACTTACGGTTCATAGTAAATATTGCTATTATTTTTTTAACCGTTACATGTTGAATAGATGGTTTTATTAAACATATTTTTCTTCTGGGGCATATAAATTTATGGTGGGCTTAGCTGATGCTCTCTTGAAACGGTGACACACTCTGATGGTGAACCCTTCTCAACATCTGCTGTCGTTCTTGGGGCAACCAGTCATTTCAGGTACCTTAAACTGCTTAAATTAACACTGACAAATAAACCAGTTAACCCCTGTCCACTGCTGGAGGTGATTCCTGGTCTCCTGTGGCTCCCTAGGCGATAGCTTTGGCGAGAGGTGTGCTGACCCTGGTGTGGAGGAGCAGGAGCAGGTGCCTGTGCCAGGCTGAGCAGGGGTGGGTGTGGTGTGCCCAGGGCACGGGGACCTTGCCATAGAAGAGCGTGGTCACCAGCTCCTGCACGGCCAACGTGGTGGTCAGGAGGAGAGAGAAGGGGCTGGGTGGTTCTGAGGAGAGCAGGCCTGCTGCAGCTGCTTGGGCCTGAGCCCTCACCCTGCTTGGGCCTGAGCCCTCCCCCAGGGAGGCGGCTGAGCGGGGTCAGCAGGGACCAGCCCCGGCCGCTCGCCAGGAGAGGGGCTGTGCAGGCAGCTCCTGGCACCTCCCTCCAGGCCCCAGTCCAGCTCCTTCAGACAGCTCCTGGCCTCGTGGATCAGGGTGTTCTTTCACACCCCTGGATGGCGACGACAACACAGGGGGTCAGGGGTCTGGTCCCCTGCCCTCACCATGATCTCGGCCATGTCGAATGGCTCTGGCAGCTTCTCCAGCATCTCTCCCAGGACAGACTGCACCTGGAAAGGACATCCCATGAGCTGCTCTTAGCTCTGGGAAAATGCAGTGGGTTAACAGTTAATGAGTAAGAGTTTTCTTTTTCTGCCCTAGTGTTTTCCTGTGCTTCTTCCTCTGTGCTCTGCCCTTTTACTTACTGCTCTGGGATCTTAAAAAGCTGCAGCTTTTTCTTGATGGCCAGGAGGGTATGAACTGAAGCCATGGAGGCTGTGAAATTCAAGTGTAACATCCAGGCAGATAGGAAGAAAGGGTTTTGCTCTTTTTAATATTTTTTTTAATCTGTATTTTTAGTGGTTGCCTTCACAAATGGGAATCACTCAGCTGGCTCCATCTGCTGAGGGTGCAGCATGTGAGCCACGCTCTGCCCCTGGTGCCTCTTGACCCCTTTCTGGGCGCTGCCAACTTGTGTAACTTGCCACGTGAGCAGATGGAGTGGACACAGAGGCTGCTGGGGCAGGTTCAGCCCCTTCTCTTTACCCAGAGGGTTTCTCAGAGCAGCTCAAGGCTGGCCGAGCTGCTGAAGTGGAGAGGAGAGCCTGATCACAGAGAAACCAAGCACAAACACACGTCAGTGAAACCCTGCTGGGAGTGCCCAGCTGAGCAGAGGCTGCAGTGCTTCTCCTGAGCTCTGTGCCAGCAGCTCCCCCTTCTCAGCCTGCAGCAAGAGGTCCTGGGCCAGAGACACCTTGGGCTGACAGAACTCAGTAGCTGCTACAGCTCGCTCTCTGTCCATTGTCTGCAGGCCCATGTCTGTCCTCCCCTCCTGGTCCCTTGCTGGCCTCTGCACTGTCACTGCACGTAAACCCACACTGGCCTTTTCCTCCTGGCAGACACCTGAGCCTCCCCAGTGACTCTGGGCTGTGCAGAGGGGCCTGTCCGAGGCCATGGGCGGGAAGCTGGTGTTGGGGTGCAGGCCATACAGCTGGGGGCTTTTGGGGGGCAGGTTGTCATCACTGTACACATGGTACCCCTAGGCCCAGGGGTGCTGCTGTTAGTGTAGCAAGCACGTGCAGAGGAGCCCAAGGTTTGCTCTGGCCTTGGAAAGACACCATCCCTCTCTGCTGGCGCTCTGTGGTGGGCTGGCGTTGCTCCTCCAAGGTGGTTCTTTCACTCACGCCTTACCCAAGTTTTTCCCTCGCCACCCCAGCCACAGGAATGAGTTTTGCAGTGATTTTGCATGTTTCCATGGCCTTGATGTGTTTTTTTCACTGCACACCCCCTTGGTTAGCATGAGGGAGCTCTGACTGGCACACGTTTTTCCCCAGCAGTGGTTTTCCAATGGCAAAATTGATCTTTCTGACCTTGTAACCCATGCTGGGAGGGATCAGAAGCCCCAGAGCCAAGTGTGTGTCCCCCTCCAGCATCTCCACACGATGCACTCGCTCAGGTAGTGCTGACACAGCCGCCGGGCCCAGTCCATGATCTGCCCCCTGTACTAGATTTCACCAAAGAGGTGCCGGAGATCGTCCCACGGCACCTACAGGGGGGCTCACCGTGGGGCCTGCAGGGCTCCCACAAGTCCCCTGCAGCCCGGGGGAGCTGCACGTGAGTGCAGAGCTGTGGGGTGGTGGAGCAGTGGCCCCTGGGTCAGCCTGTCCAGCACCCAGGGGGCTGACAGACCCTGCAGAGCCTCAGTGACAGGGGACCTTGTCTTGGGTGTCTCTTGAGGTCACCCACAGATTCTACCTTGTCCCGGGATGGGTGCAGCTGTACTCTCATACCCCTCATCCTGTCTTCATCCAGATGGTCTGTGAGGCCAGGGGAAAGCAGGGCTCTCCCCAGGGCGAGGCCTCAGTCCTGCTGCACCTGCGTTCTGGGGGCAGGCTTTACCTTTTAGGTGTAAAGTCATGTCCCAAAAACCAACCCCCCAAAGCACAGAGGTGTGGGCCACCCATCCAGCTCAGCCGGGCTGAGCACTCTGCACTCCACCAGCCAGAGGGAGCAGCTCCCCGGGAGGAGGGACAGGGCTGCTGGGGGGCTTTGTGCAGCCAGCTGCCGAGTTCTTGAGACCCCACGGGTGTCACGGTGGGCGTGGCGCAGGGGGGTGTCCTGCTGAGTCCCTCACCTCGGGGTTAGCCTCCAGCTGCTTGGAGAGGACGTCGATGGGTATGGTCAGGTGGCCGTTGTTGAAGGGGCAGGATCTGTTCCAGCCCTGAGTGCCGAGCTTGCGCCGCTCGGCCACCACCGCGTGGAAGGGCCAGAGGGCGACCAAGAGGCATCTGAACTCCATTTCTTCGCTGCACATCTCTAAAGTGTCCTGCAGGGGAGCCAGGTTCTCGTGTGAGTATGGCTATTGGCCATCCCTCCCTGGGAGAGGGTTAACACATGATGTCAGAGGAGAACTGAAGGTTGTTTAATAAAAAAGAAAGCATAAAATTATCTTTTAAAGATGTGCTTGTTAATTTTAGTTAGTTAATTTTTGCACTCGTTTGTTTATAAAAAAATGTAGGAATCCACACCCTGCTGGAAGTTGAGGCAGGTTGTTGGTGGCACCAAGCTGCAGCAGCTTGGCATTCAGCCTTGGAAAGGTGGCGGTGACTCGGCACCTCGCCAGTTTGGGACCCCTCGGGCAGCTCTGGTGACCCCCAAATCATGTCCTAACAGATGGGAGTTCTGGGCACCCCCAGGAGGGTGTGTTGAGGTGGGCTGGCTCCTGGCGCAGCATCCGTGTCTGAGTGACACCCCCAAAGATGCTCAGCCTGGGAACGCCGAGGGACGGGGTGAGCCCCACGCTGAGCCCCAGCGGGCGAGGAGCTGGCCGTGCACAGGGTGACCGTGGGCAGTGGGGGGTACCTGGTGAAGGGGGCCAGGGCTTGGTGCAGGGTGGTGGCCATACCCGTCGGCGGCTCCTTGGTCATTTTGGTGGAGGTTTCCAGCAGTCCCTTGGGTGATGTGTGCTCGGGGCTGGGGCTGGCTCAGCGCTCATCAACACCCACCCGTGCTGTCCTGTTCCATGATCTTCTCCAGTGTGCCCAGCCACCGGGCTACCAGGTGGATGTTCTGCAACAGGAACCCCCCCAACTCTGCTTGGGCTGAAGTAC